GAGCTTGACTTACATCCACGAGTACAAAGATGCTGTCTGCCTCATGGGCTAGGACAAAATTGTCCAAGGAAAAACATGAAAGGGATGTGAGGGTTCTCCAGGGGTGTCTGGGATCATGGGTGGAGTGTGATTTTTCAACTGATCAGAAAGGACGCTTTGGGTCTTTAGACCTTGGTGTAGTAAGGTCTAGTGCAGTAATAGTTTTCCATGCAAAGCTGTAGTCATTTGATGGCTTTCCCATTTGATGTGATGGGGTGACACAGAGAATATGGAGCAGGACCCTGAGAAGAGATGCATGATGATAGGACAGGAAGCAGTGGACACAAGTTTCAACATGAGAAATTTGGATTAGACATTAGGAATTTTTTTACCATGAGGGTGGTTAAATACTGGAATAGGTTGCCAAGAGAAATTATGAAACCTCTATCTTCAGAGCTGTTCAGGTCTCAGCTGGACATGGCCTTGAGCAGCCTGATTTAATTAGACCTGTTTTGAACAAGGGAGTCAGACTAGATGACCTGTGGAGGGAGGTCCTCTCCATCTGCAGTTATGAGTCTGATTCCACTATTCTATGGTGACACAGTCACTGAAGCTGCTGCACTTCATCTTCCTTTCCTTTTTTCGATAGCTTGCAATGTCAGCACGTCATTAAGTCCCATACAGAGCCATGTGCTCCTGACCCAGCACCAGGACCACACAAGCATCAGTGAGGCTCCACTGTGCTGCTGTAGAGCAATACAAGGTCCAAGCTTCTTCCCCATCTTGCTTTCTGTCAACCATGAGTCCCACAAGTAAAACAGTATGTATGCAGTGTGGTACCTAGGCCTGCCTTAGAGTCAGATTGTCAGCTGGTGTCATTCAGCAGAACTTTAAGTCAACAGTATCACAGGTCAGCACCATCATGAGGGAGGCCCTCATATCTGGACTCGTTCCCTCAAATACCATCATTTCAGATGGTGTTTATGCCCATGCTCATTTCTAATAATGGCAGTCCATAGCCCTCTCATCCCTAATCTCTCTCTACTGCTGCCTATACTCTTCTTGCAAGCTCCACTCTCCCAGGGTTGCAAATATTCCCCAGGTCAAGGTGGTATGACCATGCAGCTAGCTGCTCACCTATGAGTTTTGGATGCTCTTGGAAAAACATTTGCTTTGAATCTGGAAAACCTGATGGCCCTTCTCTCTCTCTCTCCTCTATCCTCTGCCCTATTCTTTGGGGTTGGTTTTTGTTTTTTTTTGGTTTTGTTTTTTTTTTTTGCTGCTTAGCTGGTAGCTGTGCCTTCGTGTGTCCTTCTGGCCTTCCTTGTGTTTGTGTGTTGGCTTGCAATGCCCACCCTGCTGTAAATATCATCTAGTTTGGAATACTCTGGTCTTGTAGGCGTTGAGAAGCTATTTGGGGAGCAGAGGAGAGGGCTGTCACTTAGGCTGTTTGTGGAGACCAAAGGCTGCTCTGCTTTCCCCCTGGGAAAATCACAGAAGTGCTGAAGAAGAGGGAGAGCATGACCTTGGCAGTAAGCGACAGGCAAAGACGCCAGTTACATGCTCCTTGTCTAAGCTAAGGATGCCAGTGGGAAATGTGGATTGAGAGGAATTGGAGTTGCCCATTCTAGAGTTGTTTTGGTCTTGGTTGTGTCTTTGGGGATGCCAGCAGGAGGATATTTGTGCTTTCCATGCCGTAGTGGGTGAAATTGGGTCCTTTCCTCTCCTCCTCCATCCGAGCATCTCTCAGTGCTGGAACGGCTCCCTCTACCCCTGACACAGCCCTGAACCATCCAAATCTCTCAATGGAGGAAATTACAGTTATTTATAATTAAGGGTTGACAAAAAATGTTGCTAGTGTCAAGGGAACGGCAGGCGACAGCCAGAAAAACATCATGTCTCCAGAAGAGGGGCGGCAGGAATATCCCTCTGAATAGGGCTGACATCAGCTGTCGGAATTTGGACAGCCTAGAAGGGTTTGGGGCTATTTTTCCAAGATATCATAGGTCAGGAATCAACGTTATTTTTAAGTCTGTGTCTCCCGAGCAGCTCTGGTGCATGAAGGAGACTTTCTCTCCCCCTTCCTCTTCCTTTACACTCTATTTCTATGAAATTTTTGCTTCTTTTCATTCCAAGTCATGCCACAAATATGTCCTTCAGGTTTATTTATTCTTCTCCCTATCTATTCCTCCCGGCCTGCTCCCGTCTTGGTTGGGTTGAAGGGATGGCGTCAGCATGGTGCGTGTCTGGGATGCTCAGGCAAGACATCACAGAGAAGAGATCATGTTCTCCTAATTTGCTGTTTCCGGTTGGGAGAGTTTTCTCTCTGCAAGCTGATGTGGCTGGGGAAAGTGTTCTGGGAATGCTGCTTTGTGGTGGGAGATCTCGGGGCCTGGTGAAGACAAGCTGGTCATCTCATCTCACCATTAAATGCTGCCATATGGTCCAGCCAAGATTTTCTAAAGTGACTGACATTTCGGAGCTGCTTTGTTGCTGGGAAGGTGGATGAGATGTCTCCAGCCCAGGATGGCCTATTGGGGCTGACTGGTAGGGGAGAGGTAGTCAGCAGATCCTGATTATCTGACACCTCCCAAGTCATCGATGGCTGACCCAAGTCTCTGCTATTTCAGGTCCAGGAAAGTGGCCACCCTTGGGTTTACCTCTGCTCCACGTGCCATCCTGTTCTAGTCTACTTCTAGAATCCTGTTCCTCTATTTTTTCAGTTTTTCCTCCTTCTCTTCCATTTGCTGTAGCAACCTCTCTCTTTCTAAACAAGTCTGTTGGTATAAGAACTTGACTAGGGATCTTGCCATCTCAAACAGTGTATTTGCACATCTCTCGTTGGTTTCCCTTCTCACTTCACATCTCGGATTAGAACATGCCTTTTTTTCCCTTAGCCCATGCTCAGCTTTTTGTCCTTCCTTCCGTAATTCAATGAGATGAGGAATGCACTAATGGACACCACTTTTACAGAAGCTGCTTGTTCAAATATAGCTGGTGTACCTTCATAAGCTAGTCCAGTGTAAAGAAATTATTGCATTCCCTTCATAATCTCTCTGTGCAGCTCAAAGATGCCAATTGCTCCTGGAAGCATGGGAATAAGTGAAATGCTTTCCACCACCTTAATGTTGCTGTTGGCATTATGCTGCAGGTTTAGTTGTGCTTATGACATATTTCCACAATGGTGCATTTCCATCATCATTCCACAGTGATGTATTTGAAGCCTTTCCATGAGTTTTTTCCCTGCTTAGAATCTCTCAAATTAATGGCTTCACAAACCGTGGGTCAGGGTCCTCAGATTTTGAAGACTTAGAGACAAGTCTTAAAGACTTAGAGACAATATCTTCTAGGGCTACCTGTCCTAATGCTGTTTCAGCCCATGAGGTTAATGGCACTGATGGTGGAAATGGTAGTACTTGATTTAAGAGTATCTGGCATTTGCAGCACAGCCCAAGGCCCTACAATCCCACTGCTATTATTATTGGAATTATTATTGTTGTTAAGTTAGATCCTGATTGTTTTACCCAGCTGAGGACATGAACTCACTAAAGATCAACGTTGGGACTGCTGAGTGAAAATGTAAATTTCCTGACTGCTGGTGTTTGGTTTGTTGTGTTTTGTTGGTTTTTTTTTTTTTTTTTCCCCTCCAAGTGCTGAGAGACGTGCCACATTGTGAGGATCATTTTGACGACACCCAGACATACCCATGGGTGTTACTGCTCTGCTGCAATGCCTATTGCCTACCCACCTCTCCCAGCGCATTAGTTTCCCATGCCCTTTAGAAATGGATGTCTTGGATATCCCCATTTCAGTCTTTTTTCTGTTCCTGCAACTCTTTATTGCCAGCTCTGGAGATGGGAGGAGAGACAGCCAGCAGTGTTGTCAGGAGGCTTTCCCCACTAAACATGCCCTTCAATGGATCTGTCTCCAGAGATGTCCCTCTCTCTCCATTAAGCTTATTTTTGGGAGCTCCTGTGCTTCCCTGCCCTGGCTCCTGCAAACATCCCAGACTTCCTCTCGGAGAGGGTTCAAATCATGTGCAGAGAGACAGGTTCATGTGAAGAGGGCCCGGCTGTTGGCTCAGTGCTGGGGGGGACCCAGGCAGCACTATTCTGCAAGGTCTGTTTTGAGCAGAGCTGGAAGAGAGATTTCTTGGAGCAAATTCTGAGATGCCTTTTGCTCATGCTCTTCCTGATACAATACACAGGGATGGGGGTGAAGGTAGCATGTTTCTTGATGTGTTATGTGCCTGTGCTCTGCAGGGACCCCTTGTTCTTGCCATGCGCTGCCACCTCTGGCATACTGGTTGTCCTGTGAAAAGGATAGAGTGGAGGGCCATGGTCGTGATCTTCTCCAGACAGACTAGAGAAGCTGGAGAAGAGACTTCTTGGCCCCAGTGGGCAAACCCTTTCTGCTCCCAAGAATAAGGTTTGACGTCCATTCCTGCCCTGACCTGTATCAGGGACGACCCTGAAAACCCTTGTTGGAACCAACTGGAGTTCTGGATTGCTTTTTCTCTCCTCACACCTTGCAGAAAACTTACTTTCCCCCCCCTCAAATTCTACTTTTCTGATGCCAACCCCCTTCTCTTTTCCCTAGCAGGACTGACCTCTGCATTTCCTTTCTTCTCTCATTGTTTCTCCTCCCATTTTGTCTCCTTTTATCCTATTCTCTGGTGTCTCTTCTGTCGCTGTTGTTGGAAAACCTTCTCTAAGAGTAGAACTCATCAACAAAGCTACTGTAATTAGCAAAATCTCTTCAAATTTGCATGACTGCCTCCCACCCAAACCCCTCACTAGCAGAACTTGCACCTTACAGAGCAGAATTAGTAGTGTCATGGAACATGCCGTTGAAACGCTGAATTTTGCCATGCTTTACCAAACACTGTTGGTTTCAGAGAGTTGACGATGGGGTCTCCAGGTCTGCTGCACCCTTTCCAGGATATCTACAGGTGGCTCCTGCTTTTCCTCTTTGCTCCATTGAAGTCTATGCTGACTATCTCCTCTCCCTTGTCCTTGCAGGGCGTACATGAGCGTGAAGGAGCTGAAGGAGGCACTGCAGCTGAACAGCACCCACTTCCTCAACGTTTACTTTGCCAGTTCAGTGAGGGAAGAGTTGGCTGGTGCTGCCACCTGGCCATGGGATAAAGAGGCCCTTAGTCACCTGGGTAAGAAAGCTACCCCACTCATGGGGTCTCAGGGTTGTTGGTTTTCCTCTCTCGGTTGACTTGGCAAAAAGAGGCAGCCATGATTTGGCTCAACATTGAGGATGTTTAATAAGAAGGTCATGATAACAGGCTTTGGGTGTACCAATAGCTGCTGCTGTAAGGAAAGGAGCCCCCGGTTCCCTGTGTCCATGTGGATAAGGTGGTGGGGTTGCACCCTGACAAGGGAATTCCAGGTTGTTATGAGAAAATCTTAATGGTGAAGGCAATGAGACAGAGAACTCGGGGACAGCTGCAGGTTCACCATCAGTGCAAGGCTCTGGAGAGGGGTTTAGACTCGCATTTGGCTTCTCTGGGACCTTCCAGGTCTATCTTCCAGGATTCTGGAAACGGTGAACTTCTCTTTGCAGCACGTAATGACAAACAGATAAACCAGGAGTGTCAGTGATTTCAGAGCCAAGACTCCAGATTTGAGCAACTCTAGAGCTGAGCAGGCAAGTGAGCACTGGCCACTTCCGAATCCAGCTGCAAATGTGAGGATGACTATCAAATTAAACCATGTTTTTATAACTTGGCTTACTATCTGCTGGAGGCAAGGTTCTCCCTGGCTTCAGTGAATTCAAGGCAGACCCTTAAAGTCATCAGCCCTGGCAGGCTACAAAACAGTCAAAACGGCAACTGCTTCACTAGAATGTAAATGTATTGTGTGTTTTCTCCTATTTCTGCTGTCTCTCTCTTTCCTGCCTCTCCCTCCACATCTTCAATGTCAGAGTTTTCTGGCAAAGCCCTTTACGCTTTGCAGTCAAAACATCTAAAGTGTTTCTCAATAAGTAACTGGAAATAATTACTCCTGACACCTGCACAGCAGACCTAGACCTTCTGCTTTTACAAGTGCGTGATATTCAACCCTTAAAAGTTTTATGCTGCTGTTAAAGACCTGTTTTAAAGTTCTTTTTTGCCAATTTCCCCTCCCTCAGTGAGTTTCAGGACTGTTTTTTTCAATAGCGTATTGAAAAAACTGCCTGTTGAGGAAGGAAAATCTCCATGTAATTTATTCCTTCAGCTTCCAGAAATCACTTCCAAGGCTCAGCTTGACAATCATCTTACTACAACACATGCTTCAGACACACATGTTCTCTTCAGACCCTTCCCAATGGCTCGCAAGGAGTTGTATGGAGGGGTAATCAGGTTGACTGGTTTCATCAAAAGCTTGCATTTAGCTGTGGTCTCAGAGTTTGTGTCCAGCCAGGGACACAAGAGGTGGCACCATCTGGAAATGTTGGATCAGGGTTTTACCGCGGAGGTTCAGGGGAAAAGGGGTGTTGTCTTGGCTCTGGTGCCAGAGCTGTGAAGTATGAAGCTGGATCTGAACTTCTTTGAGGCTCTGGCACTGACTTGAAGACTTCGGTTCAAGACTGTCCTGTTATAGATTTAATGAGCTCAGGAGGGCAGGTGGTGGACTCTGTTCTCTGTAAACAGTAGGCTCCACCACATCATCAAGTGTTTTGTACCATGCACAATGTATATTATTGTCCAGCACAGAAGAAACTTAGGACTGAGTAGGTCATGAATATATGGCTTTTGACAAAACTTCTCACAAGAGGCTACTGGAGAATCTGAGTAGATATAAAGGTAAAGCAGTGAGGAATGAGCAAGAAAAACCTTGGGAGGAGTGAATAGTAGTTTGAGAAAAATTCCTGAGCTTTAAGGACCTAACGGTGACCAGGGTGAAGACAGGTCTTTACACAAGAGAGGGGTCTGTCTCCAATAAGACAGACTCCTTCCCTTGCACTGAATCTTGCTAATCTCCTGTCTATCCTGACCTTAAAATATTAAGGTCAGCACACAGGCCCTGCTCCCCCACACCACTGTCTGCTCCCATG